GCTTTATGCACTGAGCCTCACAAATTATGTAGTCAGTCCTACCTGCAAGGAGAATCTCTAGCTTTAGTATGCTAAGATGTAGTCTTTTATAACATGATGTAATCACAAAAATGATATCCATCACCTTCTGCTGTATAATGTCATCACAGGAGTGACATCCCATTACCTTTGCTATAGTATGTTGGTTAGAACCAAGTCGCAAGACCTGCCCACACTCAAGGGGTGGGAATTACAAAAAGGCATGACTACAAGGAGGTGGGGATCATGAGGGCCACCCCTGGAGTCTTTCTCCTACAATACCAAAATGGGAGTAGAGTAGGTAGAGGGCAGGTCACTAGAAAGAATATAGATCAGATATCTCTACCTGCCATGCTCTATTGCATGGAGTTTCTGACTGTTTTATTTACAGTTGTTGTATTCCACACAGCATTGCCTCTGAGGAATTGATTTTATAGTTAATAGTTTATCCCTTACCACTTGCCTTATAGGTTGTCAAAATGTACTACTAAACACCAACGTATAGTGCTAGGTGGGAATGCCATCTCTTGAGAGGTCAGGATATTGTCTTGTATGATGCACTATAGGCTTGGAACCAGCAGTCAATATGTGCTGCTGTTTTTCTCACAGCCAGAATGCACAAATTTTGGAAGCAATGTTTTTTGTTTTTGTTTTTGTTTTTGTTTTTCAGTGTCACATGGCACTTTTAAAAATTTAAATTCAATTAATTAACATATAATGTATTATTTGTCTCAGGGGTACAGGTCTGTGATTTATCAGTCTTATATAATACCCAGTGTTCATTACAACACATACCCTCCCCAGTGTCCATCACCCAGTTAGTTACCCCATCCCTCCACCCCTTTCCCATCCAGCAACCCTCAGTTCCTTTCCTATGATTGAGTCTCTTATGATTTGTCTCCCTTTCTGTTTTTGTCTTGTTTCATTTTTTCCTCTCTTTCCTTATGATCCTCTGCCTTGTTTCTTAAATTCCACAAATCAGTGAGATCATATGATAATTGTCTTTCTCTGATTGACTTATTTCACTTAGCATAATACCCTCTAGTTCTATCTATGTTGTTGCAAATGGCAAGATTTCCTTTTTTGATGGCTGCATAATATTCCATTGTATATATAAACCACATCTTCTTTATCCACTCATGTGTCGATGGGCATCTAGGCTCTTTCCATAGTTTGGCTATTGTGGACATTGTTGCTATAAACATTGGGGTGCAGGTGTCCTTTTGGATCACTACATTTGTATCTTTGTAGTAAATACCTAGTAGTGCAATTGCTGGGTCTTAGGGTAGCTCTATTTTTAACTTCTTGAAGAACCTCCATACTGTTTTCCAGAGTGGCTGCACCAGTTTGTATTCCCACTGACAGTGTAGGAGGGTTCCCCTTTCTCCGCATCCTAGCCAACATCTGTCGTTTCCTAACTTGTTAATTTTAACCATTCTGACTGGTGTGAGGTGGTATTTCATTGTGGTTTCGATTTGTGTTTCCCTGATGCAACGTTTTTAAGTGGTGGTTCACAAAATTATACCCAATGCTCTACTTATAATTTTTTTGGCATCTCGTCTTCAGAACATTAGTTTTTGCTAGTTTAGAGGTCTTAATATCTAAAATAAATGCTGTCATCCGGGAACATAAGTAAAGCTTAATTGAATTGAAAGTGCACAGGGCCACTGGCCATTTGGGCAATTCATGCCACTGGAAAAAGAAGAAAAAAAAGGAGGTTTGGGTGTTGGCAGAGGTGATCGATGCTATTTATGAAGGGTAATAGGTTATTGCTACACAATGAAGGCCAAGAAGTATATGGATAAAGTCCTTTCTTTATAACTATTATAATTTAAAAAAAATTTTCTTTTAAATTCATTTTCTGAGAGCTACAGTACATTGTTGAAAAGTAGGGGTGTTAGTTGGCATCTGTGTATTATAACCTTAAAAATAATATTTCTAGTTTTTTGTCACTAAGTTTGATGTTTATGGAAGGTTTTTTTAAAAAAGACTTTCAGTTAAGTACATTTTTTTCTATTTTTGGTTTGCTACTTTAAAAAATCATGAAAGTGTATTGACTTTTTCTTTTCTTTTTTTTTTTTTAAGATTTTATTTATTTATTTGAAACAGAATGAGAGAGAGAGAGAGCACATGAGAGGGGGGAGGGTCAGAGGGAGAAGCAGACTCCCCGCCGAGCAGGGAGCCCGATGCGGGACTCGATCCCGGGACTCCAGGATCATGACCTGAGCCGAAGGCAGTCGCTTAACCGACTGAGCCACTCAGGCGCCCCAGTGTATTGACTTTTTCTAAAGCATCCTTTCATTAATTGAAATAATCATAAGTTATTCCTTTAATCTATTAATGTGGTGAATCACATCAATTGGTTTTCTGAGGTTGAATCATTTTGGAGTTCCTGGAATAAGCCCTACTTGGCCACCTCTATGTCTATCTATTCAGTGTCGAATGTGACTTGTTAATTTCTTATTTAGATTTTGCACCTGTATTTATAAATGGCATTCACATACAGTATTCCAGTCTCATATTGCTCTTTTCCAATTTTAGTTTTAAGATAAATTGGATAGTATATTAGTTAGGGTTCAGTTTAAAACAACAGATTCTCTGCTACACAAAAAGAGATTTATCCAGTAAGATGTTAAATGGCTTACTTAGAGATACATCAGTAGGGCTGAAAGATTTTTATCTGAATTTCTAGGAATTACACTCAAATCTATATTGCAGAACTGGGTCATCAAGATAGATGATGCCAATGATGCAATCAAAAATTTGAAAAATTAAGAAGCCGCCATCTCCGCCATGATCAGGAAGCCACTGACTCAGGAAGTTACCTGCCGGTTGGGATACAGAGACTTCTCTATTGCCAGGTCCAAAATCACATTACTTCTGCTAATCACAAAGTCATCTAAGGTTCAGATACTGCTGCTAGCTACTGGCTCAGGAACCAACCCTAAGTTTGTCACAATCCACTTGCAGCATAGTGGATGCCCTGCACCCTGCCTCCTTCCCCATTTGATTCACTTCAAAATTGAAGTTTCATAAAAGTTAAGTTACATGGAAGAGACTGAATCATATCTGGAATTTAAGCAAGAGAGATTCTGGGAAATGCAATGTTTTATATGGTTTCTGCCTGCTCTAAGGAGGTGGAATAGGTATTAAATGAGCCAATCCACATTGGTGTCCGTGTGTAATTCTCCCTTATTTTCTGTGATCTAAAACAACTTGTATAGGACAGGAATGATTTGTTTCTATAAGGTTTTGTGAAATACACCTGTAAATTTTGTCCTGAAGAATCTTTTAAACCCACCAGGTTAGGGTGCCTGGGTGGCTCAGTCGGTTAAGCGTCTGCCTTCGGCTCAGGTCATGATCTCAGGGTCCTGGGATCAAGCCCCGCATCGGGCTCCCTGCACTGCTTCTCCCTTTCACTCTCCCTCTGTGCTCTCCCTCTCTTCCTCTCAAGTAAATAAAATCTTAAAAAAATAAAGTGTAAACCCCCCAGTTTAATTTATTTTATATGTGAGAAAAGGGGTAAGAGAAGTCATATTTATATTAATTTGGAAATGAATAAAATGTCCTTGGAAGCGTTCACAAATAAATGATAAATGTTAAGATCCTTTTGGGAAAGATACAGGGTAGTTGGAGAATATGGTGGGAGTGAGAATTTTTACTGTGTGTACTTGGAGTATTTTGAGTTTAGAATCATGTGAACACTACCTATTGAAATATATAACAAGTATTGGCATGCTATTTCTTTATGATTTTAAGGATTTCCTCTTCACTTATTCCTAATACTGTTTTTGTTGACTTCTTTTTTTTATCTTTTTCCCCTAGTTTGCTAAAAACTTGTTTATTTTATTAGGCTTTTCACAACTAGCTTTTAGATTTTCTATTCTTTTTGTTTCTTTGCCATTTCTTCAGTTTGGGGTGTAGCTTTATTATTTCCTTCCTGGAGCTACTTTGTTGGGTCTTCTCTCCTATCTCTCTAATTTGAATACTTACTTAACAAATTTCCTTCTCCCCTCTCTCCCACTCCCCATGAATGCAGTTAAAGTTTTAAATTTCCCTTTAGATGCACTCTGGGTGCATCCTACATGTCTTTAATATATAGTACTTCACTTCATTGTCTTTTAAACTGTCAAAGCCATTTTTATTATTCATTTTAACAAGTTAACAAATTCTGTTGTTTATGTAAGTTAATCTTTTAAATGCACTAGACTCTATATATTATGGCATCTTATTTCCATGTATCACATTATAAAACAGAGTGATAGATACATCGTTCTGATGTGGAAATCAAGGAAATAAAATCAATCTACTAATTTTAATACCTCAGTTAAATGCCCAGGGAGATTTCTCAGCTTAAAAAAGATAAAAAACAAAAAATCTTTATGAAGCTTATACTATACTATCATTGCAGTTTTGTCATAAAATAACCTAGTCCACAATTTTTTTTTTTAGTTCACTTATATTTTTTTTCAAGTTTTTTATTTAAATTCCAGCTAGTTAACATACAGTGCAATATTGGCTTTAGGTGTAGAGTTCAGTAATTCATCACTTATGTACAACATCCAGTGTTCACAATTTCTTTTGAGGTCAAAATGTAAAGGCTCAGAGTTTTTTTGTTCCTAGATTTTCTTTTTGCAGTCTTTTCCCTTCTTCAGATTCTTCAAGCTTTCTTTTCTTTATCTATTCATCCCATCAAAACTAGGAAAAATCTGACCATCTATCATTGATGCTTATTTGCTGTCTGGCTATGTTCATTCTGAAGCTAATTTGAATTTCAACCATCCATCTGCATTTAAGTCCTATTCTTTATTTGTAGGTTTATAAAGGTTCATCAGTTGCAACCATCAATTGGTTATAAGAAATTCACAGTAAAGAACATTATTTTATTATTATTTATATTAATATTTAGTTTCTCTTTTGGTGTAGCTTGAAATGGGGTGCCAAATTGATTTATCTCTCTTTATCTCCCCTCTCCCCTCAAGCCTGCTCCTTTGAAGAAACTGTTCAAGCTAGAGCCCAGTTCCTAGAACTTCTGAGGATGCCAACTACCTACTCCCTTCTGGATTAGTTGGTTCTACCATCTGTCTTACCACAGGTGTGCCTATTCAAATATCATCTCCCCACCCGCCCCGCCCATGGCCTCTTTTTAAACCCAATCTTTGCCAGCCTCTCTCACTCTACAGTTTTATTTTTATTTATTTATTTATTTTTCTGGAACATTGACCTTTAGCACAATTCGAGAGATGTATGTCGATCATTTATTATGCACAAAACACTGTGATAAGCACTAATTCTAATTATTAGTTTGCAGTAAAACTGTTCTCATGGCTAGGAATGTGTATAAACATCATTTCTAATTCTAGATTTGAAGTTTCTAATAAAAGTGCATTAGAACATTGCTTCATTACGACTTCTGCTGCTCTTTTCAGCTGCTCATACTGCTTTGCATTATAGTTATATTTATGGCACTTATTTCCTCTGTTGGATATTAACTCCTTAAGGAGACAACATTTTTGTATTTGACATAGCAATTGGAAACAGATCTTTACCACTTCATAGGTACTTAAATGTATGAACAGAAAAAGCATTTGATGAATATCAGATTTCTATATTCCTAGTGCTTGCTGGTAAATGTTAAACAACAAGCTCTCTGAAAAAAAGGATACATGTATATGTACATAAGTTCATTATTGTTTATTGACATGAAGGTTGTATAGCACACAATTTATATATAATATAAATAATAATAAAATAATGTTCTTTACTGTGAATTTCATATAACCAAATGGTTCTCAGAATTCTTTCATTGATTTTTACCAAACTCTTATATCCATAGCGGCACTATGGTTGCAACTGATGAACAGGTGTTACAACATGATGTCAGTTGATAACGTTCATATACCTTAACAAGTAAGATAGAAAAAGACTCAAAACCCAAAGACCGATGTCAGGACTTCACTTGTTTTTCAATAGTGTGTGACTTCTTTACTGAATGAGATAATAATTTACAAATGCTGAAAGAATATTTCTCCAGTTTTTTTGTGCTATTCACAACATGGTATGACATGATGCACTTCTAAGTTGAATCTGCATTATTAACATTATCTCCATAAGTTTAAGATCTATCATTAAAACAACAAATCAAGACCTGATTTATAGTGTTTCTAAAAATAAATAGAAATAATTTCTCTTCTTCTATTTAAGTACCCTGTTGGATATAAATGATACTCATCAGTAGTAGCATAAATTTGAATTTGCTGTTTGAAAATAGTTACTCTTGGCATCTCTTTTTCTATTGTGCAGGTTCCGTAGTTGTTCCACCCAACCATTCCTTTTTTGTTTATAGATTGTTCGTGTAAACAAAAAGGTGAATCTTACTAGGGGGAAAGATTATCAGAGATTCGGTCTTGAGTTAGTTATAGAACTAAGGAAATCACTTTTCCCTTTCTGGGCCTCTGACTTCTCAACCACAGATGAGATTAAATGAGATGAAACAGATGATCTCTAAGGTTTCCTACAGAGTCTATGATTCAGTGATGGTAGATTATTGTTTTTACATACTTGCTGCTTCTTCCTGTGAAAAGTTGATAATTCCCTGTCCTGTGATGTCAGGCTCAGCCATGTGACCAGTAGTACCCTTCCTGTGGAAAGATTACACTCAGCTCAGTGATACCAGGCATCGCTAGGCAACATGCATTGGTCAATGGGACATAGCAGAAGTTATATGTGCCACTGCTGATCAGAAGCTTTAAGAGCCATCCTAGGGAGCGCTTGGGTGGCTCAGTTGGTTAAGCGACTGCCTTCGGCTCAGGTCATGATCCTGGAGTCCCGGGATCGAGTCCCGCATCGGGCTCCCTGCTCAGCAGGGAGTCTGCTTCTCCCTCTGGCCCTCCCCCCCTCATGTGCTCTATCTCATTCTCTCTCTCTCAGATAAATAAATAAAATTAAAAAAAAAAAAAGCCATCCTAGGTTCTGCTCTCTCCCTTTTCACTCTGCCACAACAATGACAAAGCTCCACATAGAGGCTGCTTCTCTACCTGGATCTTGAAGGGGAGAGAATGAGTAGCACACAGCCAACCCCCAACTGACAAATAAAATAATGTCTTTGTTATTGTAAGCCCCTGAGAGACTGGGATTTTTGTTATTGTAGCATTATCTAGCAAAAGATAATTAGTTTATAAATTCTTAAAATAACTTCCAATTAAAATTTAATGTAAGTGAAAAAAGGTAATAAATATATGCATATATTTATATCTTAGTACATATATGCATCCCCAGCCATCACCCTTCAATATCCTCATTTCCCCCAGCCCTTCTCTTTCCTTCAGGATCTCTTATATATATAAAATAAAGCCACTTAAAATGATGTAAATATGGAATTTACATTAAATTCTACTATAGATACTATATTTCTGTATCTTCTATTATATATAAATATTCTATATACCTACTCAGAATATTCCTTGTAATTTCTGCCTTGAATCCTTGAATGGTTCTTCCAAGGAAAAATGAATATTTTTCAAAAGTAATTCTTCATCATTAAGGTATTACTCATCTACTCTAAATTACAGTGTTCCTTAGCAATTCATGATTTCCAAGTATTAATTCAAGAGCACTTCTCCTGAAGTAATATGATTTCTTGATCCTCTATTTGTTGTAATTTTAAAGTTGTTTAAGAAGTTAAAAAGTCTCCAAGCTTACCAATGCTTCATTTTGTGGCACAAAAATATTGACTCATTTTCCTCTTTACTCCCACAGCAAAGGGACCCTGAAAGCAAACTCTAAATGTCTACGGCAATGACTTATCTGAATGAACTTGTATCTTCAATATCGCCAAGGTAATGTTTTGCAGCAGTTTCACTACTTTGTGTACCTTTCCCTTGTTTGCTCATTAACTCTATTGTTTTTGGAAACCAATAATGTCTTTAATACATTTCTGAATGACAGCTACGTGAGGCTGAGAGACTTGCAATATTTTACATTCATGTTTGACTTATGACATTCTCTCAGAATCCGCATGTGATTTTCTGCTTCTGTGTTCAAAGCAAAATATTCCTGATTGACCATCACATATAACTAACTTGGTTTTTATGGTTTTCTTGAGCTCAATTCACATGCAATACAATTCACCCATTTCAACTATACTTTTCAAGGGCCTTTAGTATATTCACAGAATTATGGATCCATTGCTGCAATCAATGTTAGAACATTTTCATTATCTTGAAAAAAAACATCTGCATCCCCTTTGCTGTCACCCCTCAATCTCCTCATCTTCCCCAGACCTAGACAGCTGTTAATGTACTTTCTGTCTCTATCAATTTATCCATTCCTGACAATTCTTATAAATGTAATCTGCAATATGTGGTCCTTTTTTCACCTAGCATAATGTTTTCAAGGTTCATTCATGTTGTGGCATGTATCATCACTTTGTTTCTTTTTACTACTGAATAATATGCCATTCTATGGATATACCACATTTTGTTTATTTATTCACCAATTGCTGAAATTTGGGTTCTTCCACTTTTTGGCCATTGTATAATGTTGCCATGACCATTTGTGTACCTGTTTTTGAGTGACTATATTTTCATTTCCCTTGGGTATATACCCAGGAATGGAACTGGTAGATCATGTAGTAATTCTATGTTTAACCATTTGAGGAACTTCCATACTGTTTTCCAAAGTGACTGCAGCATATTACAGTCCTACAAGCAATGTATGGGGGTTCTAATTTCTCTACATCATTCATAACACTCGTTATTATCTGTCTTTTTGATTATAATCATCCTACTGGGTGTGAAATGGTGTCTCATTATGGTTTTGATTTGCATTCCCTGACGACTAATGATGTGCAGCTTTTCTTGTGTTTACTCATCACTTGTATATATTTTTTGGAGAACTGTCTATTCAGATCCTTTGCTCATTTTAAAATTGGGGTTATATGACTTTAGTATTGAGTTATAGTAATTCTTTTTATGTTCTAGATATGTCAGATATAGGATTTACAAAAAATTTTCTCCCATTCTGTGGGTTGACTTTTCACTTTCTTGATGGTGTACTTCGGAGCCACAAAATTTTTTAATTATGATGAAGTCCAGTTCATCTGTTTTTTTCTTCTGTTGCTTGTGCTTTTGGTGTTATATCTAAGAAATCATTGCCTAATACAAGATCACAAGGATTTATGCCTATGTTTTCTTCTAAAAGTTTAACAATCATTGCTTTTACATTTAGGTCTTTGATACATTTTGAGTCAATTTTTGTATACGGTGTGAGGTAGGGTTCAATCTTACTATTTGCATGTGGCTATTTAGTTGTCACAGAACCATGTGTTGATAAGACTATTCTTCGCTGATTGGTCATGGCACTCTTGCCTAAAATTTGTTAACCATAGATATATGGGTTTATTTCTGAATTCTCAATTCTATTATGTTAATTTATGTCTATCTTTATGCCATTACCACATTATCTTGATTACTATAGTTTTGCAGTAAGTTTTGAATGATATCTAACTTCCAAATTTATGTAAGTGTTGACATTTACACATAATTTGATTATCTTTTGGTTGTACTTAAGAAGTTGTTGGTACTAGTATATGCTTGTGATTTGGGGTTTTATGGTTAGAGTCAACAAATAATAATTGTTATGGGCATAGGTATTTAGAATCACAGAAACCTGGATTTGAACTGATTGTACTATATCCTAGATGTGTGAACTTGCATAATCATCGCTCAGTTTCAATTTCCCATTTTAAAGTGAGAACAGTAATACTTACATTCATGGACTTCTGTGAGGATTAAATGAATTAATATATGGAAAGTGCTCAGTAAAGATAGTTTTCATTTTCTTGGACAGATGTTAATTTGCATTTACATGTTCATCATGTGTATACAGTAACAATATATTGGCTTATATTTTGATTAAGAAATAGCGATAAACTCCCAGGTTTTGGGAGCTCATTTTTTCAATAAATATGAGAAAAAATGAAGCTAGACTAGGAGAAAAATAAAGTAAAACAGCCTGTGGAGAAGTGTGGGGAGGAGGAGGCAAATAGAATCCATGCCTGGTGCTTCTCCAGGAATTTAAGGAAACTCTTTTTCCAATAATTCTTTTAAAATAGTTTAAATAGTTGGTCTGCCTGCAAAGACTTGCAGCCTCTTTTGCAGACATCAAGGAATGTACTTTCAAACAATCTCTTGGAATCCCTTCTCAGAACTTATTATTGAGTATGGGCCTTTATGAGAGAGAGCAGGGCAGCTTTTTATTCAACCTACTTCAGTTCCTACATTATAATTCCAATTGTATTTTTAAACATAAGTTTTTAAAAACCCATAAATATGTTAAAAACAATAATAGCAGGCATTTAAAGTACATAGGCTAAGCATTTTCTAGCATGTAGCAACTAATCTATGAAACTCAAGCATTAGCATTATCACTGTATTGAAAAGGTCCTGGGCTCCCCCTCTGTTGTATTTGTGAGAACAGTTGTTAATATTTTTCTATTCCAAGTTAACTCCTGGGAGGAAGCTTCAGTGGCCTCATCCACAAGGAGCTCAAGTGAAAAGAAAAAGAAAGCATGCTGGGGATTGTGAACGGTCAATGATGCAACACAAGGTGGCACTCTTGTCCCATTGAGTTCTGTAGAGCAGTACATTAGACAAAGGACACACAACTTCAAAAGATAGGGTTGGTCTGAATGCCTTTGGGAGTCTGCCGGATTGACTGAACAGTTAACAAGCACAAAGCCATAGGAGGGCTTGAGAAAGTAGACTGGTACAGGAGGGCAGGGGGTCACTTAGCATGGTGACAGCTTAAGTAAAATGAGACCTAGTGTCTGGACAGTGCTTTATAGTATACTTATTAGTTACCTTTATAATGCACTTTCATCCTTATAACAATCATCTTTTCACTGCTGCTCCATACGCATGCTTAAAATAAATATTAGATAATGACATTTCTAGGTAGAAGTAATGGTTCCTCATGGTATTTGGGATAAAATTCCACTTTGTTTCCAATCTTTTTATACTTTCTCATTACTGAAATGTCTAAAGTTTCTGAAATGCATCCTGTTCTCTTGTCTCTGTGATTTTGTTGATATTATTCTACCTAAAGCTTTTTTGTCCTTTCATCTTCATAGATGATTCCTGCTCCTCGTTCTTAAGTCAACAAAGATATCACCTCCTCCTGGAAGCCTTCCTTGACCTCCTCAATTGGGCAGGATTGTGAGGATTGAAGTTAACATATCTAAAGTACCTAACAGAGATTGGATACCTAATAAATGGTATCTGTGGTTATGGTACAGGTCCGATAATTTAATTTTATTTATATACCAATTATTTTCCTTTATTTATTCATGAGCATTTACTACTTTCTGGGTTTGTTTTCAGGTCTGTTATGTTTTTATTGTTAGGTAATGAGCAGAATGCAATATGCAAGTATTAGATGGCATTTTCTGTTTTGTTCTTCCGGATTATTTCATTCAATAAATACTTTCTCAGTTCCTATGTACAAGGTGCTGTTCTAAACACTGAGAGTATAGGATTTAAAAATGGACAGCATAATGGAGAAGCTTATTGTATAGTGATTCTTAATATTTTATTATTCTTTAAGATTTCAAGATTAAATTGCATCATAGTTGTGATGGTATACTTATAATAATAATTTTTTTCCTGGATTATAACTGATAGGTTGTTTCCCACTGTTTTCTAACTACAGTCATAGTTTCTAATAGTTCATGTTAGTACTTCCCAAATGCATTAACCTTTGCTCACAGTGATTCTCTTAACACTTTTCTGCTAATTAATGCTGCCTCAAAATATACTCTTCATATTCATTATTATATCTTTTGATTAAAAAACCTCCCAAAACCCATTAGAGGACCCTAATGTCAACCATAAAATCTGTCCCTTTTTCAAGATTTTATGCACGATTGTGTACTAAGGCCTTTGAATAGTCAGGATTCTTGCCAGCAAGAATCGGAAGGCACCTCAAATAGGCAATTGGAGAGGAGGACTGCTGTAAGGGTGTGGGCAGAGTTTAGAAAACATACTCTTCCTGGGTTAGCAAAATGGGGGGGCAGTACTCCACTAAGACCTCAAGAAGAAAAGGAAGGAGCAGATACTGGGACCCAAAAAGGCTAGCTGTAGGGAGGGGGCTGTCTTACCAGAGCTGAACTTTCCATGGGGAGATGCAGCCAGTCCGTGGTGACCAGCGGGGAGGGAGTCTGGGAAATTAATATCCTCACCTCATTCTCCTACCAATCCCAGTCTGCCCCCAGGGTTTCCTATTGACAGAAGCCCCTGGCCTCTAGAGGACAAGAGACTCAGTTGAAGCAGTTCACACAGGCCAGCCTCCTGTGCCAGAGATCAGGGTGGAGAAGGGTGTAGCATGGATCTGAGGAGCAAGTGGAAGAAACTCAGCACAGGCCTTGTTCAGAAACTGGGAAATGTAGCGATTCATATTTTTGCAACTGAAAGAAATATGAATTATCCTTATGCTTTGTTGTCTTGCCTACAAGTCTGTCCCCCTTTCATGAAAGAAAAGCCTCTCCTCCCTACTTTTTCCATCTGTAATTCATTCCATCAACATCCATCAAATCCTTCTTTGAGCAGGTTTTGGGGGCACAGAAATAAACACAGTGTTCAATCCCAAGGGTCATCATTAGGTGGGGGATAAGAGAAATAAACCAACCTTTACCTTTTAGAGCACTTAAGCAATAATGAATTAGGGGAAAGCACAGGGGCAATATGAGCTCACAGACACGGTGACCCCCCAGATTAGAGGTTATCTGGGAAGGCTTCCTGGAGGAGGTGATTTGGGCAAATGCCTTGGTCAGGTTTAATTA